AAGGCTGTTGAAGCTCACAGTTGCTTCCTGAGAAATAACCCTCCTCACTTTTTGACAAATGCATCACTACACTTCTAAATGAAAACACTACCATCACACTAAAACATCACGGCTAATAGGGAAGTCCCTTCCAGAGAGCTAACATTTCTTAATCATTTGAAGATGCTTGGGATGGCAGTATAAAGAAATCTCAAACAATCTTGTGAACATATTCCTCTTGCCAAAAATAAATACAATATTTACAATCAATAAAACAGTTAGCAATTATTAAGTGCCTACTATGGGCCAAACAGCATCCTAGATAGAAAATATATGTGGATATAAGTACAAAGAATGAAACAATCTCTGTTACAGTCTAATGGAGTAAACATAAAATACATATGTAAGTAGATGCAGAACAGAAAGAAAATACATAAATATGGAGTAATGGAAAATTGAATTAGTATCTCAGGGGATCAGAAAAAGCTTCATGTAGAAGATGGTACTTGAAGTTTGTCTTGAAGGAAGAAAAGGATTTTAAGAGGTAGAGGTGAGGAGGGGGTGCATTCTAGACAGAGGGGAAAGCCTTTTTCTACAGGAGAAGTGAAATAGCATAGAAAAAGAAGATAGAATATTATGATTAAAGAAAAGAGAGAAGACTAGTTTGGGTGGCTTGTAAAGTGCATGAGGAGAACATATAAGAAGGCTAGAAAGTGGCCAGAACATGAAGGGCTTTAAATGTTAAATCAAGATACATTTTAGCATAGAAGAACCAGTTGAATCAGTTAAGTAGAAAAATGACATGGCCAGAATTTCACCCAATAAAAATCACTTTAGCAGCACAAGGTAGATTGGAGTGGGGAGAGATTGACTTGAGGCAGGGAGAAAAGTTAGAAGGACAAATAACTTGAAGAGAAGAAGCTATGAAGGTTAGAGCTATGCTGATAGCTACATGAATAGAGATAGGGGTCAGATCTGAGAGATGCTGTGGAACTAGAAATGATAAGATTTGACAATTGATTGGATATGTGGGTGAATATTTGTTGTTATTGTTGTTTGTACTTCATTCTCAAAGAGGACTATGACATCAGGAAGATGATGCCATGACTTGCAAATGAATTGGATTTAAGTGAGGGAGGGCTGTGCAAAGTTACCAGCCTCACTTTCTCCTCCAGAGCCACCTGGGTCCAGTGGCCAGATATAGATCAGGATGACTGGAGATGGCCCCCATTTGGGTGAATAGGAGAAAGAAACAAGAATCAAGGATACCAATATGTAACAAACCTGGGAAACTGAAAGAATGGTAACAAATTTTAACAAAAAGAAGAAAGTATGAAAAAAGAGTGTTGGTTTTGGAAGAATGACAATGAATTGTTTTGGACATTTTGAGTTTGAGACACATTTAAGATATCTGGTTTGAAATGTCCAATAGGCAACTGAGGATGAGGAACCTATCAATCAAGGGACAATATTGCTGAATATCTGATTTTGGGAGGTGTCTGTGTAGAGATGATAATTAAACTGATGGGAGCTTATGAGGTCAATAAGTGAGAGGATTTAGTGAGAATAGAGAAGAGGGCCTCAAAAGAACTTTGGAAAAAACCCGACAGAAGGTTAAATCACTGAAATAGTGCTAACTTTTTAGCTGCAGATCTGTTAGTAGCTCTTCTTCATGTGCAAGATCTATTTAATAGATTTACCTTTGACCTCTAAAATTTTGCCTTCTATCTTCTCTTAATAAATGGCTGAAGAATATTAGTGACAAGAGAGAGACATTTCACTAGAATAAGCACATAGCATGTACGCAGAAGATCACAGGGAAAGAAAAGAGACTGAAGGCCAGGAGTATAATTAGGAAGTTGTTAAAATTGTAAAGGCAAGAGGTGATGACAACCTGAAATAGTGTGGGTAGCCAGGTGGATGAATAGAAAGGGACCAAAGGAAGAGATTTTGTGGTGGTAGAAGCAACAAGATTTCCCAATGATAGAAGGAGCATAAGGGAGAGAACACAATCAAGGAACCAACATCTGCAAGCTGAGTCTTGAAGGAAGCCAGGTATACTAAAAGGCAGAAGTGAGGAGGGTGAGCATTCCAGGAATGGACAAAGGCTTGTACAAAGGCACAGAGTTGGAAGTAGAGAACCATTTTTGAGGAACAGCAAGTAGTCCAGTATGGCTGGATCAAAAAAATTCCACAAGGAGTGGAACAGTGATTGAAGGACCTGGTCAAAATGACTGACTTAAAAACAAAAACTTAAAACTATCCTTTTGTACTGGATGCTCCATTAGCTGAATCTCCTATATCTTTTCTTCCAATACACTGTTTTGTTTCAGTAATACTGGTAATTAATATAGAAAAAATTCTATCCCTGTACCTTTCCCTTTCTTCAACCAGGATTTGATTTGGAGGCTTATCATGGTTTCCAGACTTTCATTCAGTTTCTGTAACATGCTTTAACATCATTGTAAAATACTGGTTATTTCTTGAGCATCATATGTCAGAACTGAAAATCTACCATCTTTCATACCACCACAAACATTGTCGATTAACCTGCTGATAACAGTCAAAAGTATAGCTCAAAGTAGTCTTACAAAAAAGGTTGTTTATTAGAGGAAGCAATTCTCCCTTTGTTCCGTAATCTTGACATACATTTACTGAACACTTACTGTGTGTACAGCCTTGTATTTTAACCTAATGGGGGATACACAACTAAAATAAGATGAAATGAAAAAGAATAACATATATGAATGTACTCTGAAACATATAAAAAGTCATGCAATTGTAAAGTGGTGATATTATAATTATAATCATTGCTGCCGCTATTACTACTTCTACTACTACAAATAAAAAACAAACCCTTGAAGGCATTAAAATACAATGGTGAAAATGAGTCAGACATACTTGAAATAACTAGAAAATAATTAAAAGACAATATACTTGACAAAATAGTAGTTGGTTTCATACAGATTATCTGCATGAACACTAGGGGATACAAAATATAGGGAAAAAAAATCAGTATAATGCTATTCAAGCAAGGCTTCTTTGAGAAGAGGCATCATAAAGAAGACCCTGAAGCAAAGTCTAATATTTCAACAAGGAGAAGAGAGATTTGATTATTTTACTACAAAACTAGTTTTCTTTGGAATAGTGTATTCCTCAAAACAATACAAATTAAACAAAAAAAGACTATGTAGTTAATAAGGTCCATCCCAAACTTCTTATTTATACGGCCATACCACTTCTCTTCAAGGGTGCTTTTTCTGCCCACTAAGATGATTGGTCAAAAACTTTCTGGTCCGGGGACAGCTAGGTGGCGCAGTGGGGACAGTTACATGGCAGAGTAGATAGAGCACTGGTCCTGAAATCAGGAGGACCCGAGTTCAAATTTGGCCTCAGGCCAAACACTTGACACCTATTAGCTGTGTGACCTTGGGCAAGTCACTTAACCCCAATTGCCTTAAAAAAAAACCTTTCTGGTTCTCTGCTTCTCAGCCTGTCTTTCCAAGTTTTATGTAACATAAGAGGGAGATACTATGAAGCTTAAAGACACTATAGCATAACAGAAACAGCACATTAAACTGGAGTCAGAAAATCTGGGTTAAAATCCTGTTTTTTTCTGGCTATTGGACTTAAGACAAATTATTTAACTTCCCTGAGCCTCACTTTTCTGTAATTTGTTACACTACTACTTACCTCAAAGGGCTCCTGTGAATATAATTAATAAACACACATATATAATTCATACACATATGTAAAAACTTGTATGTGTATATGTCTATATAGACATGCATTCATATGTATACACATACACATACATGCATATGTATGTGCATATAAACATATACAAAGCCTATTTAAATGCATGCATACAAATACACGCACACATATTACATGTATATACACACATGTGTAAATGGACATGTGCTCATATATGCGTATGCATACATATGTATATATATACAAACACTATGCTTGTGTGCATATATACACACACATATTAGATTGTAAACATTTTGTTATTATTGTTCTAAGAAGGAGGGGCATACTTTCTAGCACTCCATGACTTATGAAATCAATGAACGAACAAAAATGCATTGAAAAACATCTCTCCTCAACACTGTGTGAGATGCTGTGGATGATGAAGAGAAATAAAACATAGGGCTTCTTCCCTCAAGAAACTCACAGCCTAGTTAGAGAAACAAGACTAATGCAAAATAAACAAAAGCAAACAATTCAATATAGCACATGGTTAGCTATCAAGTGGTGGTGTAGCAATTATAAGAGCTGTAGGAAGGAGGTTTGAAAAGAGGGGAACCCAGGAAAGCTGGAATAATTAGAGAAAACTCCATGGAATACAAAGAAATTTTTATAAGAGTATAGAGTTAGTGTAGAATGGGAGCTTAGAGATCATTTAGACCAGCTAAATCACTTTACAAATGAAGAAACTGAGGGTCAGGGAGGTTAACTGATCAGCACAAGTAGTATATGGCAAGATTTGAACACAGGTCATCTGACTCCAAATCAAGGGCTCTTTGCATTGCTCCCTTAGCTAAATGTAGAGGAAGAAGGAAGCCACAATAAGATGATTGATGGAAGGCACTGCAGGGAAAGAAGACAACATGTCAAAGGCAGATGTTACATGGCTATAACAAAGGATAGAGATAGGCACTGACCCTCATCTTGTTCTTCTAGTTCACATTTCTATAACCACCATATGGTACTTGTCCAAATTTACTTCTGTGAATGAGAATGACTATATCTGGTAATGAAATAGGAAAAATAATAGCCTATTCTCAAGATAGATGCATAGGAGTATGCATGCGGGGAGAGGGGTAACTACAAAGACATTACACTTTAGTGGCAGCTTGTAAGCCACATAAAATTCTTATTATTTTATAGCCAAGCCATATTTTCTGATCCAAGCAAATACTGGGCAGTTATTTGCAAGACTTGGATCTGAATGCAAAAAATCAAATCCCTTGATCATAGGATAAAGACCATATAACTGATTTCCATCACAGGAAACATATGACACAGATTCTGAATGCAGTTCCAGATGGGAAGTTTCAGAAATGGCCTGAACAATGGTAACATCACTGAAAAAAGTGTTTTGGCTTCCCAAGTGGGGGACTTTGAAGGGGACATCACTCAACTGAACATGAAAATTCTTGTATGTATGTTAAATAATCAGTTACATTTCATTGTAAATGTAAATCATCAATACTTTATTACTATAGTGATAGCTGTCCTCGGAGGGCTGTTTGATTATCATGCAGTTGTCAAGAAATTAGGTCAAATTGCATGAATATTTTTTAAACTATCACAATGTTCCACTTCAAAGCTTAAAGGTTTAATTCTTTTTATAGAATTCAATTGTAGCAGAAGAAAAAGTTACCAAATGTATTTTGCTCAAATGGATTTGATCTAAGAATAAACTTTCACAGTTGCTTCAGTGAATTTCATAACACAAGGAAATCAATATGCTATGCCAAACTGCTTTGCAATAGTATTCACTACATGGATTTAAAAGCAACAAAACAAAAACAAAACTTTGTGTCAGTCCTTGACTCACTTTTCCATGTATTTAAGCATCTAAAAAATAACACTACAAATTTTTGGTAGAATCTGTATCAAAGCCAGGCACAATTATTTTGACATATTAAAGGTCAGTGTTCATATGCAAAGTAATCTTGATCTAGAAAACAGTCAGAGAGTCAATCAAAAAGTTATTACCCACAAAACGATCTTTTCAAAGTTTTATATAGTAGAAGGGGATTCTAAACCACTCACCCCTCTACCCCTTGCTTAAGTCAAAAAACACAGCATAGAGTTCTGATTTGTTTGTAAGCCAATTAAAACAAAGATTAAATATTTGAGCCAAGCTGCAGTATCAGATGATGACCTCTTTTCTTTTGGAACTGCGGTTGCTGCTTCAATGCTGAAGAAGTAGAAACAATTCAATTTGAGGCCTAGAGAAAACTTGAGGGTAGGAGCTGTGGATGGGAACAGCATCTTTTTCATTCCCCAATACAATAATGGTGTGAGGTTCTCTGGAAATGCAGAGGAACTGACAAGTACTTTCAGAGTCCAGCCTTTCCCACCTTCCCCCAGCCCCTACTTACTTCTGAATTGCTGAAATCAGCAAGAATATTCTTCTAAATAATTTATTGACATTTCTCCATAAATTAGATACTTAGAGGTGAGAGGGCTGTGAACCTTGCAGAGGCTGAGTGCTCACTACAGGGACTATAATCCATCAATCCAACCGACAGTTTTCCAAACCAACTTAAACTCTAGCAGGTTTACTGCTTGGAAAGAATTTCAAGAGCTCCAGAGAATGCAAGAGACATCTGAAATGCTCCTTGTAGCAGAGCACACAATAGAGGGAAATAAATCACTGGAAGTAAGATAGAAATCTATAATAATTTGAAACCAATGATTAAATTCAATCATGTATTCCTTGCTATTTCAAAAGGCAAACCTAGGAACATGCTGTTTCTCTCACCTAGAATAGCTCTCCTAACCCCATTTCTCTTTACCAATTCAAGGCCTAATTACTTCATGGCCCAGCTGAAAATTCAGCTCTAAGAAACTTCCACAGCCACACCTACTCCATGTGATACCCCTCCCCCAGGGCCCTTACATGAATATAATATTACCATATATTTATTAATATGTTCCTGGTTTTACCTACTTGATGCATTTTAAGTGATCCATAATTTTATCATGGTACAAAACTTATCAACAGAGAACAGAACCCCTCTTTTCCTTGGTAGACTGTTTCATGAGTTAGGATAGCCCACTTCCCAAAAGTCATCATGTGATATAAATTTTCTGATTATCTGACTCTCCAAACTTAGCTAGGCTTGTCCTTGACACAAAACCCATTACCAATGAACCACAGGTATTATACTCAAAACTTTTCCAACTTTGGAGGCCAACCAGAGCTTAAGCTGTGTTGCAAGGGTCTTTGGGACCCCAGTGTTCCCTCCACCCCATGCTTTGGCACTGGAAGAGTACTCTAACTGAGGCAGAGCAATGAGATCATAAAATTCATAGCTGAAATGGATCTTAGAGATTATCTAGTCCAGGGGTTCTTAACCTTTTTGTGTGTATGTGACGTAGACCCCTTTGGCAGTTTAGTCAAGCCTACAGACCACTACTCAGAATGCTTTTTTTTTTTTTTAGGTGAGGTAGTCAGGGTTAAGTGACTTGCCCAGGGTCACACAACTAGTAAGTGTCAAGTGTCGTAGGCTGGATCTGAACTCAGGTCTTCCTGACTCCAGAGCCAGTGCTCTATCCACTGCACCACCTAACTGCCCCTCAGAATAATATGTTTAAAAGAACAAAATAAATTAAATAATATTAGAAAGGAAATCAGTTATATGAAAATATGGTTATCAGAGTATTTTTTTAAAAAGTTCTATGTCATTAAATTGGTTTAGGGAATATCCAATAAGGAAACTCCTTTTACCAATACAGAAGAGGATCTGCTTTATAACTTAAAGTCTTAGGGAGTCTCCTGGAGTTATTTGCCTTACTCAGGGGTTATATTAGATGTATCAAAGGCAGGACTGGAGCCCGGGTGTTTAAGACTTTATGGTTAGCTATACCATATTCCCTTTCTTTCTGGTCTCTTAGTACTTTGTGACAAAAAAAAAAAAGGAAAAAGAAAGAAAAGAAAAGAAAAAGGCTTATCCCTTCATCCTGCTCTCCTTCCTCCCCATGTTCCATCTTCTTCCTCATGTCTGGGTTATGGGATCTGTCACAACCCATGGAAAGGCATTCTGGGGCTATAGAGGGCTCCAAGACAGAGTTCACCTATTTCACTAGTCTGCAGTGTCCTTTGGATTAGGAAATGCTACAATGGACCATCAGCTTGCTCTTCCAAAGCATTTTCAGATCAAAACAAAGGAACTCATTTATCTCTGAACCAAGAGTAATGACTTTGATTATTTATATCCTGCTGATGGCTTAAGTTTGGTGAGACAAGAAATTAATGGTAATAACTCCTTTACTACCTTAAGTATGTTACTTCAGAATTCCATGTATCTATTTTTTTCCCATCTGTAGACTGAAGGATGTTATACCTATCCTGTCTTTTCTCACCAGAATATTATGAGACTGAATAAAGTTCTATTACTGGAATGCTTAGAACAAGAGTACAGCTCAACACAATTTCAAAATATTTCAGTCCTAATTTGGAGGCAAAACTGCCGAAATAAAAATTGTTAAGGCAGAGAATTTTGTACTTTTCTGTAAGACTGCTTATAGCAAAGTTCTAATAGATGGTATATTCAAAGTATAGGAAAAAATCCTTTAGACATAGATTGACATAATGCAAAAGAAAAAAAAATGACCTCATGAATACTAACTAAATGGCAGGTTAAGATTTGTCTCTCATCTGTAAATTAGTAAGCTGTCGATTTCTGATTTACTTTGCAGATGAAATTTCAACTACTGCAAAACAACATCCCCACAGTTGATCATTTGACTGGATAAGAAGATGGAAAAGAGGCTCCTGTGACTGCTGAATTAAAAGAATGAAATTAAAAGGAAAGGATTAATCTTTAAGGATTGTAAAGTCAGGCAAAATTCCTAAAATTTCCCAAGAGACAAAGGAATCAACAGGGACACTGAGTAATGTGTCCCAGGTTATTATTTGAAAACCATTATAAACAACAATTTTTCATTCTATCTGCACAGAAGTATAAGATATGGTCCTTCCCCTCCAGGTCTTATAATCTATTTGGTTAGAAAGGTTGTACACACATAAAAATGTAAAGACCAGTGCTAAGAGACAAAGGAATCAAAGAGACAAGATCTATGAGTGAAATGGAGGACATGGATACTGTAGTTTGGAAAAGCTTCATGGCCATGGACCTCAGGCTAGATTAGTAGGATTAATATATGTTTGCATAATATGTAGATGTGTAAATTCCTTTACATTGACAGGTGTCAAGTTTTATTTTTCTTGGTATCTCAGTATCTTCCCTAGAGCTACTACAACATTTTGAGTCATTCAGTAATTCAATGGCTCCAGCATAGATCTTACCAATATGAACACTTCATCTGAGGGATTTAAGAGTAAAGGAGAGGACAGAGTTGAATTGGTTCACCAAATGGTCAGTACTAGAAAGAGAGGAGAGTATCACCAGAGCTGAGGGATTAGCTTGAGGGATGGAAGGACTAGACTTCAGTGCGGACAAAGAATAGGTTTAGAAGGAGTAAGGCACAGGGAGAGATGCAAAGAAAAATGCTATAATCAGATAAGAAAATTCAGAGTTCTTGAATGTGGAAGCAGAACATTTGTGGATGGTAGCAAGATCAATGGTATGACTATCCCTGAATGTAGCTGAGGTGAAATGGAAGAATAGCATGGGAATTGGTAGACTGAGCAACTAATAAGATATTGGGGGGGAAATCAACATATAAATTGGTATGTGCTATAATGAGGGAAGGAATTGGGATGGAGATAAAACCATAATCTCTGCCTCAATTTCTCCATCTGAAAAATAGGGACAATAATATTTTCCACTATTAATCCATCCAATAAGAAGGCTGAGATTTAGAACATAATTAAACTCAATGTAACATATTTTAATTAAGGGCTAATATATGTAAAGCACGTAGTATGAAATGTTTTGATTTACCCAGCAATACCACTTTTAGGTCTGTATGCCAAAGAGATCATAAAAAACAAGAAAAGGACTCACCTGTACAAAAATATTTATAGCAGCTCTTACTATAGTGGCAAAGAATTGGAAATTGAGGGGATGCCCATCCATTGGGGAATGGCTGAAAGAGTTGTGGTATATGAATGTAATAGAAGACTACTGTGCTATAAGAAATGATGGGCAGATAGATTTCAGAAAAACCTGGAAAGACTTATATGAACTGATGCTGAGTAAAATGAGCAGAACCAGGAGAACATTGTACACAGTAACAGCCACACTGTGTGAAGATTGACTTTGATAGAATTGACTCCTCTCAGCAATGCAAGGATCTAAGTCAACTCCAAAAGACTCACAATGGAAAATGCTACCCACATCCAGAGAAAGAACTATGGAGTCTGAATGCAGATGGAAGCATACTATTTGCTCTCTTTTTCATTTGTTATTTTGTTTTATTGCTTCATTCTTATGGTTCCTCCCATTAGTTCTAATTGTTCTTTACATCATGACTAATGAAACAATATGCTTAATATATAAGTAGAGCCTATATCACATTGCACACAGTCTTGGGGTGGGGGGAACATAGAGAGGGGGAGAAAATTTAAAACTCAAAATCTTATGGAAGTGAATGTTGAAAACTAAAAATAAATAAATAAATATTAAATAAAATGTTTTGATTTACTGATAGCTTTAAAGAGTGGGAAGACTGACAGAAAATAAACAGGCCTGAGTTTTGAAGATGTGGTTGGTTGAGTGCAATGACAATAGCCAGACTCCCTCTTCCCACTGGGAGGGCAATAGGGCTGAGCAATCATCTGGTGCAAGAAGGTAGTATTTTAACTAGCCTGACACTTTTCTGCCAAAAACTCTTTTCTGACGACCACAAATTTATGACCAGAGACACCGAATCATGTTCCCTGTCAGTGAGAATGTATCAACAGCACACGAGAAAAGGAGAGACGTGTGTCGAGTGTCGCCCACATAACAGCAAAGAAACAATCCATCACAGAGGAACATGCTAGCTAAAGGAAGCTAATCACCATTCCAGTTGTCTGGGGTGACTTTCTTCCTTATTCAGTTTCACCTAAGCAGCCAATGCAAATAGAAGGGGAAAAAATAGCCCCTGGGCCTTCTATAATACAGACAGGCATTGTTGCATGAATTTAACACTGAAGCAGAGTCAGTTTTGTGCTCAGCAGTATTATCAAGCTGACTTTTAGCCTTTAAATAGCATCAGTACTTGCAGTAGGAGAAGGGGATGAGTGGTGGGATGTTGCATTTCACATCTTTTCAGAAGGATCTTAAATAAACCCATTACCTTCTTGTACAAGGCAAATTTCAATCTGTATCACTTCCTTTGCTATCTAACTAAAATGATACCCTGATCTGTGCTATATTTTCTTCCCCTTATTTTAGAAGATGAGCAAGATAAATATTTTAAATAGTGAATAAGAATCTGAAAAGACTATTCATTGTTTCCCAGTCTTGTCTTGAACTCTTGTATTGCCATGCATTAGAAAAGGCTATATCCTCCTGCTTGGAACACACTCTCCTTTATCTTCCTCCTAATCTCTACCTTTTGAAAATCCTCTTCTCTTTAAAGGCCCTATTTCAGATTGCCTCTCTTCCATGAAGACTTTCCTGGTCCCTGCTCCATTTTCTAATCTGAAAATGGTCTTTCTCTTCTGAAACCTTCTTGAAATGGTGGTTAGATTTCAAAACTGCCTCAATTCTATTCTGCCTTTTTATTTGTTTAGAGATCATATTCACCATCCAATGTATCATAAACTTATCGGGGACAGGGACTATGCAAGTTTTAGTGGTTTTTTTTTCCACGTCTAACACCCAGAGAATACATTGTATATACTAAATATTTAATAAATGCTATTGAATTAAATATTTTGTGACTTATAACAAGATGAAAATGTGGTAATCCCCTCATAGCTTGCAAACAGACTCAAAATTCATAGACTTATAAAATATTAGACTTAAGAGTGGTAAAAGTCATTGAATTCAACATATATCTGAAGCATTGATTCTGGCTGGTATCATGGATAGAGAACCAGGACTGGAGTCAGGAAGACCTGAATAAAAATCTGGCCTCAGACACTTATCAGGTATGTGATCCTGGGCAAGTCACTTAACCCTGTTTGCCTCAGTTTCCTCATCTGTAAAATGAGTCAGAGAAGGAAATGGCATACCAATTCAGGATCTTTGCCAAGAAAACCCTGAAAGGGGTCACAGAGTATTGGACAGGACTGAAACAACTGAACAACATAATGTACCCAACAAGTGACCATTCATCTTAAACCAATTATTCCCTACTATGAACCCCTTGTCTTAAAAGAATCATGCTAGAAGACAGTCAGAAATGGTTCTTACTCTCTAGAGAGCCAAAATTCTTCCTGAAGAAAAGAGCACTGACTGGGGAGTCAGAGGACTAAGTCTCAAATGTCATTCCTATACTTATTACTTGGCTGACCTTGGTCAACACCTCGGTCAACACCTCGGTCAACACCTCGGTCAAAACACCAGGGAAGTCTCTAAGTTGTGAAGAATGTCCCAATTTGCATTGGCTGAGGCAATTGGGAGCCTCATCAGAAGCTCTCTGTACAAATAAAGTAACAGGTCTATGTTTTTTAAAGCATATATGAATGTGCCATATACTATACACACATATGTACATGTATGGATCTATGGATACAAATACAGACACTATCTAATATAGAATAATATATATGGATTATAAAATATGTTTAGATATTATGCTGTATATAATGCATGTATTTATATAGAAATATGTGTGTATATACACACGCATATATATGTGTATATATATAGAGAGAGAATGTATGAGACAGAAAAGAAGAAGAAGATGATGATGATGATGGAGGAGGAGAAGGGGGAGGAAGAAGAGGAGGAAGAAGAGGGAGAAGGAGGAAGAAGAGGAAGAAGAGGAAGAGGATGAAGAAGAGGGGTAAGAAGATGAAGAAGAGGAAGAAGAAGAGGAGGAGGAAGGGGAGGAAGAAGAAGAGGAAGAGAAGGAAGGAGAAGAAGGAGGAGGAGGGAGGAAGGCAAACACAGATATATTCTTTCAAAAGTACTCCCTGTCACAAATCTAGAGAATGTATATATGCACGTAGTATATATAATACATGTATATATGCACATATATAATATAAACATATATATGTATATATAGAAATAGACACAGATATGTGGTCTTTAAAAGGAACTCCCTATTCCAGGTTCAGAGAATATGGCCACAGCGCTGAATCAATTGAGAGCCTAATGTCTTAACAGGGCACTTGTCTGGGTACTAAGTATTCCACTTCGTCCAAAAGATAATAAGGTTAAAGTAAGCCATTCACTTTATTATAACCTCTCAAGCGCATTTAGTTATCTAATACAAATATCCATGAGTAACTCAAGCATGCTCATGCTTTTCTCTAAAAGGAATTCCCTCCTAAATGTGCACTGACTTGTTTGCCAGGAAGTGTTAGATCTTAGTTAGAATAAAATATGAAGGCAACATGAAAAGCTTTCCACAATCACAGGTGATTTGCCATAGAGTTCTTCTCAAACAGCAAAATCTGCAAACACTGAAATAGAGCAATGGTCCTTAAAGAAAAGACCTCAACTGGAGATCAAATGACAAGGTACTGACAAGGTACAAGGGTGTTTTGCAAAAGCACTCATTACTTTGATGAATTAATCATGGCTCAATTACAAATGATTACAAGAGAAATTAGTGGTTGTGGCAGTGTGTCTTCAGACACGGCTGCTGGACTAGAAGGTTGAGTGGTGAATATTTGAAACTATTATGAAGTCCTATATCTGGATGGTGTCCTGTCTGCAACCCAGGTTACAAGATTTGTATATAGTACATACATGGATGCATGGTTATACACGCTTGGAACTTTTGTTAGGTCATATAATAATCTCTAGA